GTGCTGGCTGCCCTGACTCTTGCGTTTTATCGCCTCTATGGCTGGGAGGTTTTGGAGCATGCCTATCTCTACCACCTGACCAGAAGGGACATCAGACATAACTTCTCTCCCTATTTCTACATGTTGTACTTGACAGCAGAGAGCAAATGGAGCTTTGCCCTCGGGCTCGCAGCTTTCCTGCCCCAGCTGCTTTTGCTCCTGGTCGTGTCTGTAGCGTTCTACAGAGACCTCGCCTTCTGTTGCTTTCTGCACACTGCTATTTTTGTGAGTTTTAACAAAGTATGCACATCCCAGTACTTTGTGTGGTATCTCTGCCTTCTGCCCCTCATAATGCCTAATATTAAGATGTCCAGGTGTCGAGGTGTGCTGCTTCTCCTCCTGTGGTTTTTTGGACAAGGCCTGTGGCTTGCTCCTGCATACTTTCTGGAGTTCCAAGGATATAACACTTTTTTGTTTATATGGCTGGCAGGCTTGCTTTTCCTTTTTATTAACAGCCTCATAATTGTTCAGATTATTTCACATTATCAGGAAGAAGCACACATGGCAAAAAAACTCGAATAACAAACCGAAAATGAACAGACCAAAATCCAGAAACATCCCTACTGATCTCAGTAGGGTGTTGTATAGAACCAACATTTTGACATAAAAGATTGAACATTGTACCAAAGCACATTGTACGTAAATGTCACTGTTTCAGGACCATGAGGGCACTGATTGGCCTTGGTTGTCCTGATGAGCCCCAGCCCTGCCCTGAGCAGTGTCTGTAGGTGAACCTCTCTCCAGTGTGGATCTTGAAACTCCCTGGTAACCTTCTTTCAAGCACTGATGCCACCCCTGTGCCCTGCTGCTCCTGACTGGACTCCCTGGAAGTACCCTGGACCAGTTCATCACTTAACCATGTCTGGACCATGTGAATGGACTCTCTTACAAGTACCTGTCTCCACTGACTGTCTTCACCTGCAATCTCCAGAAACTGTGACTGTTCCCTGGTCTGAGAGAGTATGGCTTGTGCTGGGGTCACCCTCAGCTTGTGTTCATACTTCCTCATGGAGCTGCCCTAGCACCATTTTTCTCATTCTTGCTGTCATTGTTAGTTCTCCTGTTGAAGGCTGTGGCCTCTGTCCAGAATAACACAGGAGGTTATAAAGGGATATTGGAGCTTGACAGTTTTGTACATTCCAGTAAGTTAGTGGGGTGTTTTGCAATGGTTAAGGTAATGAATGAATATAAAGTAATCATTTAATATGTACACTGGGATTTATTTTTCTTTTTCATAGTAACTTTTTAGCTATGCCACGTTTGTGGCCTGTACCTGGTCTTTATTCAAAGAAGTAGTAAAAAAGGTGATTATTTCATACAAGTCATTAACTCTTTGAGACTCAAATTTTAATTTATTTTAGAATTCAGATATGCTACTCTTTCACTTATTTTTTGCATTTTCAATGCTGTTTTGCATTTTCAGTGCTGTATTTTTGCATTTTCAGCAGCTGTTATGTTTCAGAGTTTTTTGATACGTTTATTCCTCTTGCCATGGAGGAAGATTTTTCAAAATAACTGTCTTGGATCATAGAGATGTATAAAACAAAAATATTTGAGTTTTGCTGCCATGATTTAGAAAATAGGCCACTGCCTTAAACTGCAATTAATTAGCAGTTATTGTAGATGTTAACAATAGCAAATGTAAAGAGTCAGAGTGCTGCGACCTGTGTCCCAAAGGCACTGGAGTTCATACCAAAACAGTAATTGGAAATGTAGTTTCTCAGTATCTCTACTATTAAGAAATAAATGAAAAAGAGAAAAGAGTTGAGGAAGTGGAGGAGTCACCAGAATAAAAGTTTTGAAATAGGAAGCTCTACAACCTGTCAAAACACCTTTATTCCCATATGAGACATGAGAGGATGTGGAATTACATGTCAGGTGGTGATGAGAGGAGTTCTAAGCCATTTCGAAGTCAATACCCTCAAGGACATCCCACAAGAAGTCTGCAGTACATAGCCTTTGGCAGAGGTGGGAACTGAAGATGTATTTTTTAATAAAATCTAGTTTAAATAGGCATATGCCAAATACAAGAATTTGCGTAGTTGCCTCAGCTTTTAGTTACATCCAATGGGGAAATGAAACCCTTAGTGTGTAATGTGGAGCAGAGCTTCAAGGCAAAATAACTTCAGCCACTCGGTGGGATTCCCAGTGGTGTCAGTGGAAAAGGATATGGCCAAGTGGATTTCCCTTCCAGGTTCATTTTTACCATGCTGCCTCTCTGAATCCTGCAGTCTCCTGAGGCAGCCCTCCTCCCCAGGACTGCAGTGACTGCCAGCTTTCTCATGTACAGGGTTTTCTTTCCTGACTGTAGTTCTCCCTTGTGAGACAGAATTACAGTATTTTGATCGGGTAACTTTTCCCACTGCTGAGGTGGTTACGTGAAAAGAGAGGAAGACCTTGAGCCCCAACAGCCCAGAGCTAAAGGGTGCAGTATCAGGAGGTGTGATGATCATAGAATTTTAGGGGTTGGAATGGACCTTACAGGTCATCTAGCCCCAACCCCCATCACCTCCCCACTAGACTAGGTTCCTCAAGGCCTCATCCAACCTGGCTTTGAACACTACCAGGGTTGGGACACACTACTCTGGTCCAATTCAGCCAATTTGATGTGTTAGGAGGAAGGATGATTTCCCTGTTCAGGGCATTGAGGGGTGGTTCTGCTCCCCACTGGAAGGCATTCAGCTTTCCTCCACCATCTGCACTCACACTCACCTTCACATTGTGAAGATTCATACAGTCTCTTATTTGTAAATCCATAAATTGGATGAGGTAGTGGATATTCTTTTGACAAACTGTCTTGATTTTTTTAACAGATCTTAACAGATGTGGCCCTGATTTCCCTCCCCTGGCTTTGCCTGGGATGAAGGAAGCAAGCACCAGCTTGTCTGCATCTTCCATGAGATGTACATTAGTCAAAAAACTGGTGGCATAAGTTGCTTGCAAACAGTTTAGTTTTATATTAATCAACAAAACATTTTGTCTGTGCCGAGTGTGTGCAGAGAAAGCAACCCATGTCGTTTTATTTTCTGAGGTAAGAGTTTGACATGCCTGGTTAGCATTTCAGCAGAAGACTGAAGAAGCTCTTCTGTGCCAGTACCTCTATTCACTCATCCCAATGTGCATGCGGTAACTCATTTTCCTTTGCAACTGATCTTCTATTGCCTATTACACAATTTTCTGTTGCAAAAAACTTGTTTTCTTCCCCCGAAGCGGTGTTTTGTATCTCTTTAACAGACCTACTTACGCTGCTTCCAGACATTTCCACAGTCCTATTTTCCTCTCCTATTGGCAAAGAAAGCAAGTGAAAGTCAAAAAGCATTTCTAACTTCAAAAACCTTTCACGTAACATGGCATTTTAAGTTAGTGTGTTCATGACAGAATTGTAATGGGTTTTAGGTACGAAGTCATTTCCTTATGACAAATACTTTCTTGATTCCTTAATAGCTGAATCATTTTGAGGCCTTCAGAAGATAAGTTCTGCAGCAACGAGAACCGAGGAGTACCTTCCCTTTGCAGGTCAGTACCAGCCCTGAAGCAATGATTAAGCTGTGCATAAACAAGTTATAAAAAGGCTTTTTTACAAACTTTGCTTTACAGTCATCAATTTAATAATACAGTATGAGTCCCTCTTTTTACAGTTGTTTTCTAAATCACCCAAATGTGTTTGGGATTTAGAAATAATTCAGTGATTCATGAAGAGCTGGATAACAGAAATGAACTGAAAGAGACAAACAAGAAGAGGTGTTTGAGAGTTTAGATGCTGCAAATCACTTTAGATAGGTAAAATGGAATTTAATAACTTTATTCACTGAAAAAAAGAAACATTAAATCAAAATAATTGTAGCCCAGTGCCAAACAAGTTATAACTCTTGAACAAATCATGGTGATCTATTGTAATGCCCTTAAAATTTAACAAATTCATTTCCTGTGGAACATTTATTGCTTTTGATAGTGTTCAAATTCTTTTGCTTAATAATTTTGTGTGCATTTATCTTCTGGTAATTAGGAATTGAAGTGTCTGAATGCTACTGTTCATTCCCTACCATGGATTGCAAAACTGTAATGCTGACTTTTCTCTAAAAAAGAACATTGAAATGCCCAAAGAAATGTGTCTCATTTGCGCAATTTTTTCACATTGCACTGAAACGAGCCCTGCAGTGCGAAGTACAAGGTGTGGAAGAGGAAGTGAGAAGGAGAAAAGAAGTTTGAAGAAAAGTAACAGTTTGCCTTGCCTCTTACACTATAGCCTATAGTCCAAAGGCTCATGGCTGGCTTCACAGGTCACTTCAGGCAAAGGTTCAGCATTTAACAGTGATTTGCTTTAAAATTTATAAATGCAGTTACTCAAATACCAAGGTAAACTAATATAATAAATGTTTCATTGAGTTTCAGTGTGAGCATCCTAAATTATCATCTATCATTCAATAACAATGTACTTTGTCCTTATTAAATAACTGCCCTGTGTGCGTTGCTTGCATTGTATTGACTCCTGTAATAGTAGAGGCAGCAATTATGTGCTCTAAATTGAGCTCATCAGTTTTCTTTTTCAAGGAAACTGTGACACTTCTATATTTAACAGCAAGGGGAAACTCCAACATTTTTCCTAAGGTTTTATAGAGAAAGCAAATGTTAAAAGACAGCAAATCATGAGCAAATGGTTCCCTTTTGTATCTGAGAAGAATGAGTCATCTATTTTAAAAGGGCTGCAGAAATACCTAGTGAACACAGGGAACTCAAAAAGTATATTCCTCATATATTTGCCAAAGACAGCTGCAGAATTCATATCCTAATGCTAGCAGCACTATAGAATAGGATTATCCTGAATTTAGGACAAACTCTTTACTCTCACTGAAACACTGAAACACACACTACTCATGCAACTTTCTTGCTTAAGAACCCATTTATGTGTGCCATATTCACAAACCTAAACATTTACCTGTGCACACAAAAGCAAAAAGTCCCAGTCTAGACACCTTGGAATAACATGATTTTTTTTAGAGCTGTCCTCTGTAAAACAGGTTTCTCAGATATTTCTTATATTTAGCACTCAGAACCCTGAGTGACTCTAAAACTTGAGTTACATAAATTTTTATGCATATGGAAAGTAAAAGCGTATGTAGCAGGGATCTTGAGGTGTAACAGACACATTAAAGAACGAAGGTGCACATTCCATCAGTATCCTGATGCTCTTCATTATAACAATCTGCACTAGTCACATTATTTGTGTAGGAGTCTTGCTTCAGTTTTTATGCATGGTGAAGAGATCTACCTTTTGTATTAGTGTAAGTATCAGAAAGATAAAAGTTTCTCTTAATGAAGCAATACCTTTGGTTTTGTTTGTTTTTTAAAAAAAAATCTCTGTAAAGATTTTAATAAATCCATGCAATAAATCCATGCAATTTTAATAGCTGATATGTCTGTTTCTTGTCAGTCTGGTAAATACAAAGAAGACCTAAATTTGTCATTTTTTAATGGTGTAAGTTGCTGGTATCTTGTTTGAGCAGAATTCCTTGTGACTCTCC